TAAAGTATTAAAGTTTAGTTCGTTGTATAACCTTTTGAATACCACTCGATGTTTGAATACCACTCGATTACCAAATACTTTTACCTGACACTCAACGCGTTACCAGCAACACCACTTCTCCTTCGGAGTCGTGGTGTTGCTGCGTAACGCGTTTCGTGACAGGTAAAAGTATTATTCGGTAATCCTAAAACCTTTTGTGGTATTACATTCGATAATAGAAAACAAATAACAAAAATTGGGAGCAATATATCAACAACAAAAACAAACAATTATGGCATCTCTCAAGGCAGTACTCTTGGTCCATTACTGTTCTTGTTGTATATTAGTGATATTGATTTGGTGATTCAAAATTGCTCTATACACTTGTTTGTGGAGGATACATTAATCTATTTTTTTTCAAAAGACCTAGTTAGCCTGAAGCATGCAAAAAATCTGGATCTCCAGCAAATTCAGTTGTGGATCAATGATAATGTACTTAAGCTAAATGTTGGAAAAACAAAATTCATTATGATTGGAGTTAACAGGATTCAGCATGAATATAATCAGTTAAAGATAGAAATAGGTACTGAGCACTGAGCGTGTAGAGGTGGTTCAGAAGATCAAGCATTTGGGGTTTATTATTGATAATTCTCTTAAATTTAAAAAACATATCCTGTACAGGGTGGTCCAAATTGGACACTTTCTTATGGAAACACCCTTTATTTTTAGAGATAGAAAAAAATGGATCCTCCACTCTTAGGCCCGGTTGTACAACGGACGTTCAACCGAAGTTCACACTGACTAGTGGTTCAAAGGAAAAAACTCGTTGTACATGGTCGGTTCAGAGTGTGAATGGAGGTTGATCTTGAACGTCCGAATTTGGGCGTTCAAGGGGAGTTCAAGTCTTTTTTGGGTTTTTCTAACCTGACTCTCCTATGTTTTGTTTGTTTTTTGATAAGGGATCACCATGGCTTTTGAATATATATTTTTTTTCAAGTGGATATTCGTTATTTTATATTTTATTGAAAATGGATCTTGAGTGGGAACTGTGGGAAGATATTACAGATGACGAAGATTTTTAAAAATTACTTAATTTTATGTTACATATATAAATTATGTACTTCCTCGAGCCCCACAGATATTCAGAAATCGAACAGCGAACAGATCATTTGAACATTTGTAATCATAAAGAATAATTCAAGGACAGATTCAGTTAGGAGAAACAAGCAGTGTGAGATGAAATTATGCATCTGTGACCTGTCCTGTGTGTAAAAAAATATGAAAATTAAAATTAAATAAATAGTAAACAAGAAAACACAAAAAATAAACAATGAATTTGATAGGTTATGGGTTGGGTTGCGCCTATTTTCTTTCTTCTTTTTATTGTGGACATTGCAACTGATGGTTCAAGTAAACCGGCAGTGGTACAACACTCGAAACTCTGAATCACGTTCAACATTGAACGACGGTTCAACAGAACTTGTGTTGAACCATTCTTTGTACAACCGGGCCTTAGGCTCAAATTTCATGAAATATTGATTGGTGCAAACCGCATTTTGATATCTTCAACCGTTTAGCCACTAGAGGGCGATTCTCGATTTTGAGCAATACTGTAAAACCTCCATAACTTTTTTGTTTATGAAAATAATTCATTTCCGTAAAGACCTTTTGGAAGCACTTTTTCAATTTTTTTCAATAGGACACCCTATATATTAATAGTTCATTAGAAAGCTATGCTTTTGCTGATTTCAATGATATAAAGTTCGATAGGTTTATCTCTAACAGTTTTCGAGAAAAAAAATTATTTCGGTTTTTGTCTTAAGAAATAATGTGTGGGAAAAGGACTTTATCTCTGTAAGGAAACTGAGAAAGGTCTCTTTCTAACACATTGTTTTTTTATGACAAAAACCGAAATAATTTTTCTTCTCGAAAACTGTTCAAGATAAACCTATCGAACTTTATATCATTGAAATCAGCGAAAGCATAGGTTTCTAATGAACTATTAATATATATATTGAAAAAAATCGGATTTTGGTCAACATCTCGAAATCGAACCCAGGCAGAAAAAAATTGAGAACGTCACTGAATTCTGCTTAAAAAAGTGCTTCCAAAAGGTCTTTACGGAAATGAATTATTTTCATAAGCAAAAAAATTATGGAGGCTTTACAGTATTGCTCAAAATCGAGAATCGCCTTCTAGCGGCTAAACGGTTGGAGATATCAAAATGCAGTTTGCACCAATCAATTTTTCATGAAATTTGAGCCTCAGAGTGGGGGTCCATTTTTTTCTATCTCTAATAATAAAGGGTGTTTCCATAAGAAAGTGTCCAATTTGGCCCACCCTGTACATCATTGACAAAATATCAAGAAATGTCAATTGTCCAGAGTGTCTTCATAATTATCTAAATGGACCAAAATTACAATATATAACACCCTGATCTTACCTCATTTTGTGTATAGTGCAACAATACTATTCACTGCCAACAAAAATGAGATGAACCGCCTGAAAAATTGGCAAAATAGATCTATGTGTATCATATTGAAGAAAAAAATGACACCCATAGTTGACTTGCTGAAAGGGTTGGATTGGCTATCTGTCGAAGAGGGTTTGTCAAGTATCAAACAAAGATCTTTATGTATAAAATAAAAAATGGAATTACACCTGACTATTTGACAAGTAAATTGATCACCATTGGGGACATTCACAACTATGCAACTAGCAATAGAGTTATGTTGCAAGAAAGAATAAATCGCTTTCTGAGAAAGCAGTATACCATCAGCAGTTAATAGTTGTAAGGGAAGACTTAAAAAACAATTGAGGGGAGAATGATGCAAATGGAAAGATATGTCATGTCATGTTATATGGTACTGCTTTCGTTCAAAATTATTCAATGATCTTCACATTGTAAGGTTGTAGTATTAGTAGGTGAACTAATTATTATATCTTATGTACCGAGTTATGTACCGTACCTAAGTATTGTACTGTATTATCGTATCAGTTTTTTTGTATTGAATTAGATGAAGTCTAAATGAAGCAATTATTATTATTATTATTATTACTTGTGACTTTATTCACATCAATATGTCAACTACGTCAGTCATATGTCACGATGCATGTCACTGTCATGCTGCAGAAGCTTTTTGTCTTTGTACTTTGCAATAATAGGGCACTTTCCAAATTTCACCGATAAATTGACCGGTTAAATAAACCGGTAGCTGTCAAAAAATTGTGGTAAAAGTCAGATGCAAGTCCGGTTCGGACGTTGATTTTTCTGGTGCATTTTGGAACGCTTTGGTGTCAAAGTTTGGTGGTGTTCCTTATTATTTTTTGGAATTGTTTTTTTTGTGGGATACAGTGAGGTTGGTATGTATTTTTATTATTTTTAACAGTCAACAAACGGTAGTTTTCAGTACGATTTTTGTAGATTATGTGAGCTGAGTATTTGATTTGGCAAATTCATAATGACGACCACCCACAAACATTTTTTTATTCTGCAATCTGCAAGCAGCAATTTAACGATAGAATGCCAATAGTACCCATTCAAAGCAATTAAATTAATGTACGTCAAAAAAAAGTGTCAAAAAACCTCTAACCGAAAAAACCGACAAAAATTCCCAGTGGATTCGGTGCCTCACCGGTTTCAAACAGCTGATCATTCCGGTCAATTTTGGAACGAACGATCGGGTTCAACCGGTAAAAAGTCGGTACATTTTGGAACAGTTTGGTGAGTAAACTATTAAACCGGTATCGCACCGGTACAGAAACCGGTGAATTTTGGAAAGTGCCCGTAATCTCTTCTGATTATCATAAACAATAATAGATTAAACGAGAGATTAACAGGTCAATTCTGTGCACATCTGTAAGCAATTCTATAAATTTCCATAAGCCTATAGACACTGCAAAACACATCGATTGCCAAACACCCAATCAGAAATATTTACCATCCTATGAGATATTCTGTAATCTACAGGAAGAGCAGAATTGCAAATTGTCTTCAGGCAGCTATAGGCTTATAGAAATTTATAGATTTGCTTACAGATGTGCACAGAATCGACCCATAAATCAAATTAAAAAATATCTTAACATGGAAAAAAAACAAAATTTTTGTTGACAAAGCATGTTACAGACTCGGTTACAGATATAAATTCAATAAACCACAATAAAATTATAAAAGAAAAATTCAACTGTTAAAGCTAGTCCAAAAATAATATATCCAACATAAAAAACATTAAAATCAAAAGGGTAAAAAATGTGAAGTCCTTGGTGAAGTCATTAAAACTCAAAGGATAAAAGAACAAATACACAACACACTGTGTCTGTAAAAAAATCCTCTAGGATATAATATGCCTTAGTTAATACAATACCCTTAAGTAGCTGTCTAAAGCATTTTACACTGTTGGCAGACTTAATGCAAATTACTTAATGGTTAAAAAAAATTCTGCCATTAAGTATAAATAAGTGACCTTTTGGTTAGTTCTTCTTTTGGAATTGGTTGGATGCAAAGTGTTGTAAGAAGTAGTTGAGCACCCTGAATCTGGATGCTTAGTCTGTTTTTAGAGATCAATGAGGCCTTCTCAAGGATAAACAAAGAGCATAATGTCAGGATATTTCGTGTCTACAAGAGTCTCTTTGGCCAATGTTTGTTATAAAACGAATTGCTCTCTTCTACACGATAAAAATATGTTTAGAAAAAACAGAATGATGTATTATCATTTATCAAGGAAGTTTATCTATGAAGGTTATTTTGTCCTGGTTAGTCAGTACCTATCGTCTGTATTAGTAAGGGCCAAATTATGGACCAACTGGTAAGTGTCTCGTTGTTACCTAGCAGGTACTTTCTATTCTCTAGAGCATAGAAAGTACCTGCTAGGTAACAACCAGACGCTTACCAGTCAGTCCATAATTTGGCCCTAAAAGAGTTAAGGTTGAGAAAAGGCGCCTCATAAGTTATGTACTCTGTACCACAATCTCACATCCACTGAATTGAATTAATTATACTGAAAAAGGATGAATGGACTTACGAACTTTCACCAGGCCTCCTAGCCAACTTAGGAGCAGTGATTCCAGAGAATGCAATTTGTTTCTCCGGCGGTGGGGCTCCGCTAAGTCCACGAATTACCACAGAATCTCCTGAGAGGATCTAAAATACACACAAGCACATGTTTAATTATTATGCTAAAATTATCCCGTATTATTTTTAGGTTAGAGAACTTATGGAAGTTTTTCACAAAATAATTTCTAATAGTTATGGGGCATTGTTAATGGAACATACAATTTGTTTATTGTTAATAAATTTGTGGTTTTAAAGGGTTATCTGGGGTACCTTATGGTGCCAACAAGGCACACATCATCAGGCCTTATCCACAGTTGTTTTAAAAGCGAAAATAACCAAAACTACAAATATTTCATGAAAAATCAAAACGCTCCAAAGAAAAATAACACTTTTACTGACCTGTTTAACGATTCCTCGTTTGGGTGCTGGTACAGGTACTGGTGCAGGGGTCGTCATCTTGAGTCCATTAACTTCCAAATCGCCAAGTTGTTTTGAAATGAGGTTGTTGTGCAGTGCGATCTGTCAGTTTACGTCACGACGAAATTGTCACGTCATCAATTAACGTCGCGTTAACAAAAAAAAGAATTAGGCGTTTTCATTACGACCGGTTCAAACCAGAGCGTCATGAAAACGCTTTGGGTGCAATTGTCACTATGGTCACGTCATACAAAACTTGTTTTGTTTGTTTTTTCGTACTCGAAAAAAATTAAATTATGTGTATTTTTCTAATAATAGTAATATTTCTAAATCTAAAAATTGTGTTGTGATAATGTATGTAATAAATATAAATTCAAATTGTTGAAGAAAGTTAAAAATATGTCGTTGGCCAAACTTGACTGTGATAATGTTGCTCTAAAGCAAGAAGAATCCATGAAACTGGATAAAAAGACAATTTCATACAACGATATAGCTGCGAAATTATTGGAAGACAAACTGTTTTTGAGTGCTTTAGAATTGCACACCGAATTGGTTGAGGCTGGTAAGGAATTGAAAGTTTTAAGGGATTTCTTTTCAAATCCTGGCAACTTTGAGACACCAACACAAGAGTTTACAGCAAGATTATCACGTTCTGGAAGCCAGGCGACATTAGATAGTTTAGATTTGACGAGATATTCCGAAGATGGGACTGCTGGAGACGAAAAAGTGGCTGTGCTAGAGTTTGAGCTACGAAAAGCCAAAGAAACCATAAATGCTCTAAGAAATAATCTCACTTTTGCTATAGAGTCTGAAACAAGCACTCCAGACAAAGGTTCACTAAGAAATGCTGCATTTACAACAATCAGGCCTCACGAACAAAGAGCCTTAAATTTTTTAATTAATGAATATTTGCTTTTACAAGGCTACAAATTAACTTCCATAACTTTTGCTGATGAAAATCAAAATCAGGATTTTGATGATTGGGACGATGTTGGGCTTAATATAGCCAAACCGCCTGAATTATTGCATTTATATAGGGCAGGTTTGAAACAGAGTGGACGAGATAGTGTTGGGACTGGCACTCAAACAGATTTTGATGAAATACTTGAGAAGGATAATTTAATTAGGGACCAAGTAAGTAAATGATAATTTATTCAACCTCTATTTGATAAATAATTAAGGTATTTAGCACTTCATATATAAACATAATTTGTGTGGAAAGCAAATAAACATGAGTTTCTTATTATTGAACAAACATAATAAGATGCTTCATAGGAACTTCTAGTAAATCATTAAGGGACCTTGTAATATTCTTGTTATGAAAAAAATTGAGTAAAATTTGTCAACAGAATTTTTTATAAAGAACACATTTCCACTTTTAACACTCCATTGCCTCCTCCATTGCTAATAATTAACAGTTAAAAGAAAAATTAGTTGTTCGGAGTAATTCGGAGCGGTTCTTTAGACATTCCCGTGTAGAAGTGTGAAAAGTGAAAACCTTGAAACTGTCAGTTATGACACAAGTGATTGCAATGAAGTGAGGTTATGTTACATTTGTATAAATAAATCAAATCCAAAATGTTAGATTTTGAAAATAATAACTAAAAGCCAATAAATCAACCATGTTCCGACGTATATTATCTAATAAAACCTTGAATATATCGACTACATCAAAGGCAAAAGTATCGATTTGGTCACCACTAGCTGAAGCCTTCAATACTCGTCCGGTGCCTAAATTCAGCATAAAAAGCAAAGATGTAGGTCTTTTTGGGGTGCCGGAACTTACATCTCACACGGGATTCTACGATTTAAAAGACCAATGCGTTTCAAAGACCAAAGGGCTTGTTGAAGAGGCTTTGAGTGGCTCAAGGACTAGGAAAATGGTAGAAATTTTTGATGAAATATCAGATTCTTTATGTCAAGTAGCAGATTTAGCAGAGTTTGTTAGGCTTTCGCATCCTCAATCGGATTTTAACTATGCTGCCCAAGTTGCTTGTGGGACGGTCAGTGGGATTGTTGAGCAACTTAATACTAATATTGAATTATACCAAGTTTTAAGAAACGCTGTTAGAAAAGGGGATCTTTCAGAAGCAACTACTATCGATAACCATGTAGGAGAGTTATTTCTGTTTGATTTTGAACAATGTGGGATCGATTTATCAGCTGATAAGAGAAATAAAGTTGTAGCGCTAAATGACGATATTTTACATTTGGGACAAAAATTTGTTGCTGGAACTTCAACCCCACGTTTAATAAGGAAAGATATGCTGCCTCAAAATATCAGACATCTTTTTGCTTCTGATGAAGACAAGATAGTTATAACTGGCTTATATACTGATTCAAACAACCCCATAGCCCGGGAGATGGCTTATAAAATATTCTTACATCCTGACCCACATCAAGACCGTATTTTATTAAATTTATTAGATGCTAGAGATCAATTGGGCCAAATATGCGGATTCAATTCATATTCTGAAAGAGCTTTAAGGGGCTCTACAATAGACAAACCCGAAAATGTTCAACAATTTTTAGATAGCTTGAATTCGGACATATGGGACAAGGCTCAAAATGATTTCAAGTGTATGGACAAAATTAAATTAAATGAATCAATGGGCGGGGGTCCTTTGGCCTCATGGGATGTACCTTATTATACACAAACAGCTAAAAGAGAATGGTTCAGGGTATCATCTAAGGAATATTCGCCATATTTTTCACTTGGAGCTTGCATGGATGGATTAAATATGCTTTTTCAATCATTATATGGAATTCAATTGGTCAATACTGAAGTGGCTCCAGGAGAGTGTTGGTTTAGTGATGTTTATAAGTTGTCAGTTGTACACGAAAGTGAAGGATTATTAGGTAATGATTCTGTTCAGTTTCTGGTACAATTATCAATTTTTTCATATGTATTCAGGTTATATTTATTGTGATCTCTATGAAAGAGCAGGAAAAGCTAACCAGGATTGTCATTTTACAATAAGAGGAGGCAAACAACTATCTGATGGTTCCTATCAGTTACCAATAGTAGTTCTCATGTTAAATTTACCTACTCCAAGATGGTCAAGTCCTTCATTATTATCTCCTAACATGGTTGATAATTTATTCCATGAAATGGGCCATGCCATGCATTCAATGCTGGGCAGAACACAGTATCAACATGTAACTGGTTAGTGTATTGGCTGGTTAGGCTATCCAAAGTATCCTAGAGTTTAGAGATTTGTGAACCAAGCTGATGTACAATTATATTTTTAAAAAAAATATGCTCTAAACATCTGATCTTTTTCCAAAAGTATCTAGGAGAGAACTGGCACATCAAATTAGTGCTCCTTCTATGCTTCACCTTAGCTTTAACTGGTGAAGGCTTGGTACTTAGATGACTCTGGAATATTTTGGATAGTCCACGATTTTTTTGTCAAATAAATAAAAATATCTATAATTTAGGTACTAGATGCAGTACGGATTTTGCAGAAGTTCCCTCGATTCTAATGGAATATTTTGCCTCAGACATAAGAGTCCTAAAACATTTTGCCCGTCATTTCCAAACAAAACAACCCATGACAGATGAAATGCTCCATAGACTATGTGCATCAAAGCATTTATTCACAGCCAGTGAGACTCAATTGCAAGTTTTTTATGCTGCTCTAGATCAAGCTTATCATGGCAAGCATCCATTGAGTGGTAGCAGCACAGAAGTTTTAGCAGGAATTCAAAAGCAATATTATGGATTGCCTCATGTGCCAAATACTGCTTGGCAATTGAGATTCAGCCATTTAGTTGGGTATGGAGCTAAATATTATTCGTACTTAGTCTCCAGGGCTGTGGCATATTTAATATGGAAGACTTATTTTGAGGCTGATCCTTTGAGTAGGACAAGTGGGGAAAAATATAGAAGAGAATGTTTGGCTCATGGTGGAGGAAAAAACCCTAAAAAATTAGTTGGGGATTTTTTGAACATTGATCCCACAGCAAACGCGTTTGCCAAAGCTTTAATTAGTGAGATAGATCATCATCAAAGTCAAGTAGATTTAGTGATAAAAAATTAATTTTCGTTTCAATATTTATTTTGTTAATAAATAAACATATGTTTTTTGAAATTGTGTTTTTTACTACCTACTTTAATTTGAATTGTCCCATACCCAAAATTCTATGTATAAAGAAAGCCAATACGTTGGAACACAAGTCTGTTGAAACTCTGGATTAAAAAATCGTTCCACATGGGTGTATTTATTCTGTGGAAATATTCCCAAAGAAAATTTTTATTTATTTAATTATTTCTTTGTTTTCAAATTGCATTTAGTTTATACATACCTATTACATATACAAAAAAATAAATAAAATGAAATAGCGTCAATACAAAAGGAAAGGCAGAAGATCTACAAACAGGAATGTTACCCTATCCCAAAAACCTATTACCATCACCATATTACATATTCAAATATTCATCCATACATTTAGGGTCCCAGAGTTACACGACCAAAAAATTATACGTATCTGGCTGTTGCCTTGAATTTCTCAAAATACAGAGTTCTGCGGGATGTTTCATTCAAGTATTTTGGAACACTTCGGATTCAAAAACAAGAAATTCTCAAAATGTAGGGCTCTGCGGGTTGTTTCATTCAGGTATTTTAAAACACTTCGGATTCAAAAACAAGTTTTACTTAGTTTATTGCAAAGAAAATCAATATGGCAATATTAACACTCGAAAACTTAGTAGTACTAGTTAGGGATAGTTCATTACCTTCGATGAAAATAGAGTCTTGTTTTTGTGTTTTATTTAATTTTGTTCTAAACATCAAGGTTTTTGTTTTTTCTTTGTTCGAGCACAACTTGTTTCTTCCAAACCATCTGTCAGCTGATGAAAACAAGGTTTCAGGTTTCTGCATTTTCAACCAATTTAGGAATTGTTTTCCCTCCTACCAACAGACTTGTATCATCTGCACACTCTGTTAAGTTAGAATTTTGGATGAGACATTCGCTGTTTATGTCGTTCATAAAAACTAAAAATAAAATAGGTCTGGGAGTACTCCCTTGTGGTATCCCTACTGTATCCCACAGAATTTCTGATTTTTTCTGATTTGTAGGTTATACCGTCTTAACACACAATCACCCTTAATACCATAAATTTCTAATTTCCTGAGAAGTATATCTCTATTTAAGCAATAAAAGGCTTTAAATAGGTCTAAAAATATTCCTAGTGCCATGTCGCCATCCTCCAGATGTCTCAAAATTGCCTGTGTAAACTGGAAAAGTGCTGTTTGAGTAAATCTTCCTTCCATATACCCACGTTGGTTTCCTGAAAGAATCTCACACACATCAACCGCTTGCATATAACAATTTCAGACAACTTTAAGAATCTCGGAAGGAGACTAATGGGTCTGTAGTTATCTAACAAGTTAGGATCACCTTTTCGCCCGGTTGCCAAACCATATATTTTATGTAAACTCAAAATATCGAGGGGTAAACCGAAAGGGAAATCAAGAGGAAATCTGAGTTAATCTAAGGCAATCAGGGAAGAAAATCATGAGGAAATCAAGGGAAATTTTAAGGAACTCGTAGGAAATATTAAGGAAATCATAGGAAGTCTTAAGGAAATCAGTCAATCTCTAGATCTAATGCAAGCGCAGTTTTCAAAAATTTTTATAATTTGAGTTTATGTTATCAGGAGAACTCTTGGGCAATCTTAAAGTTACTATGGCTAATGAGAATAAATCTGGGAAAATCGTCCATGATTTTCTCTGGGTTTACAAAAACTGAAATGCTCTTGTAAATGTTTTCGAATACTGTAATAAAGAAAATACCTTTATGTATTTCTACTTGTCAAACAATTTCTCTTCAAATTTTTCTCATCTTCCAATTCTCATTATTTTTCTTCTCAATTTTTGTCTATTCCCGGCTCTTGAATTCCTTCAAATTTCCCTAAAATGAGATAATTCAAGAGCCTGGAATAGACAAATACTTTTATTCCTAAAATTTCTTGTTAATATCCTGATTTTCGACCTTCGTAGATCTAAAATTCAACTTTCAAAGCTTACAAATTTGATAATTCTTGATATTTCATAGATTCTGAACTAACTTAAGACTTTTTAAGATAACTTATTCAACTTTGCAGACTTTTTAAAGCTCATCATTGAAGA